GAGAGAGAGGAGAGGCGCGCACGCGTGAGGGAGAAGGGGGAGGAGTGGCGGAGGCGCTAGGGTTTGCAGGGGGGGTCTGGCTTGGCCTTATCCGGTAGGGGAGCCGTGGGATGGCGGCCAGATACGCGCCACGGTCCTGTGAACAGGAAGGAAGGAGAAGGCACGGCTGGGCTGGGCCGACTGTGCACTCTGCACATAGAGCCCAATCCAACAGGTAAGTTCGTCCATTTTCCTTTCTCTTTTGTGTTTTTTTTTGTTAAACATTTTGTCTCATCTTTCTATTTAGTTCACATAGCAAATGAATTTTGCTTGGACTCAAAATTTGCAAATAATTACTATGCAATATTCTGGAGCGTCTCACAAAGTTTGGGGACATTTGGAATTCTATAAGTATTTGTTTATTTTGAAAAGGCTATTTTTATTTACTGTAGGACCACTTTATAATTTCCTAGGGGTTAATTGGTGAGTCAAATGATGTTGATTTCAACATGAGATGACCAGCAGACTTTCGAGAATAATGCAAACATTTTTGTTTTACTGCTCAAAGAAATAATTTATTCGACTTGTTTTAAATTTGAAAAAGGGCTTTGATTTTTGGACAAGTGGCAAGATGCGTAGTAATCATGATGACATGGCCACCATTAAGTGGAGATTACTGTAACATGATTCTCGGGGTGTTACACATGTCCTACACCATCCAAGATCCAAACAGATTTGGCAATGTCGTTACGGATCACATTTTGTTTCACAAAATTAAGAGGGGGTTACATTATCTATAAATAGAGCACTCGGAAATGTTGTAAGATTACAATATGTAGATCACAAGGTTCAGAGACCGAGGAGCTGGCAGTTCTTCCAGAGGATATTGGCAGAGCGCCGGAGCTGGGCGGCCTCGGCCTCGGTGTGGTCCATCTCGGCGACACGGAGTCCTCCACGGTGGCCGAGGAGCGGAGGCAGGCTTAGAGCATGGTTAATAGTACAGCCAAGTGCTCGTCATATGATGTTGCCATGTTATATATAGTCATCACTTATAGTCACACATACAACAAGGTTAGCTATAACGTTGGCTATAAGAGTAATATTACTTTTCACCTCTTCCATCTCTTACTTCATATTTATTGCATTTGCCTAAGAGTACTTATATAGCTAGACTCTTGCATGAGAGCCCACTCCCATCTTTTTTTCATGTCTCTCTCCTCAACATAGGAAAACGTGCCATGTAAGCGGGCTATAAGCCTATTATTATACTTGTTCTTGGGAACACCTTTCTTTTTGGAAAAGGAGGATTATCCCGACCTCTGTATCAGGACGATGCATACAACCATATATGATTAATAATGCAAAATTCATCAGCCGAACAATATCAACACCGAAATAAAGCGAAAAGAAAACTTGAGGCCACATACCTCGCGGCGGTGACTCCACCAGATAGCCACTAACCCTATGTTACAAGACGGCATCAGTAACAAAAATACACAACTACTAAACTACGCCTTCAAGAAGTCGTCGCACGTGCGTTGACGATGGCGAGTCCAACACCAGGTTGAACTCTTGATTCTCATCCCTGAAGCCAAGATTCAGTCCACCACCACCACCAAGTTGGAAAACTCTGATTGTCTGTAATGAATAAGGTGTTCAAAACAATTTATGTTATATTTCAGAGAGAAGGCGCCTTACGAAGGGCTGGATAAGAGAACAAGATTCTGCATGATTTGTCGTCGACAGGGACACAAGCGGACAACATGCCCTCATCGCAGGGACGTGCCAAAGCAGCCATGGAATTCAGGGAGATGTAAAAATTTCCATGTCGAAGAGCATCGCCGAAACAACTGCATGAGGAGGTCGTACGGATCAAAATGGTTTCTTCCTCACTGGATCTGGTGTCACCAGCTCCAAAGACTGCTCACTGGGTGGGTTGCCGGCGATAGAGGTAAGTCTGAACTTAGAGCATCTCCAGCCGTTCGGCCCCCCGGGGCGCCGAAAAATAGCGCCCTGGGGTGAACCGGCGCTAGATTGGCCCCTGGGGTTTGTTTCTCCCCAGCCACGCCCCCAGGTGCCGCCCCCAAGGCGCCCCATATTCAAACTCAATCGTTCCCGCTCAAAAAAGCTACAATCCGGCGATCGTAGCAATAGTTCGTCGATTCGGTGCCACAGTTCGGCGATCAAATGAAATGTTACACAGTAGTTCGGCAACAAAAAAGCAAGGACGCGGAAGGAATGCATCAAACGTCGAGCTCAACCTCCGGCGTCGTCGTCGGCGTACGCGGGCTGGGAGGAGTCGGCGCGGCTTCCGGGCTGGTCAGCGTGGCTTCTGTGCTGCTGGGCATGGTGGAGACATCGTCAGTGGGGCTGGGCATCGCGGAGGCATCGTCAGTCGGGCTGGGCGGCAGCGGCGGCATCAGCGTCGCCGGTATCTGGTTCAGGATGAGGCCTCGCTCCAACAAGAACCACGCCTTGAGCTTTTCGTCGCCGCTCTGGAGCATGTAAGCGCCGCCCATCAAGAAGGCCAGGTCGTTGTTCCTCTTCTTGGCATCTTGAGCTTTGAGTTTCGCGGCGATGTTGGTCCGGAGCAAGTCGAGTTTGACGGTGTTGTTCGTCATCAAAGCAGCCCACCTCGCTTCAGTTTTCTCTTCTCGCTGGGCGGCCCTGGTCTTGGCGTCGGCGAGGTAGTGCTCGATGGACTCTTCCACGCGTGCGGCAGCCGACTCGACGTGTTTCTCTTTCTTGGCCCCTTTGTGGCCGTCCGGGCACCCGTCGGCCGCGCTCGGGGTCGGCGCGTCCGGTTTGTACGTCTCTTTGGCCTTGTCGAGGGTGCGCCGGACGACCGCCCACTTCTCGCACTTGTCGATCCGCTTGAAGACGTGGAGGTACTTGAACTCTACATCGCTGTTGTCATCGCGGACACATGGCGAACATGCGTAGCAGCTGCGCCGAGGAAAATAACATCAGTCAGCGCGAGCGCGCGCCCGGGCGCGCAGCGAAAAGCACTAGTAAGGATGGCGTGCTATACCTGATCCTCGACGCTGGTGCCGCTCTACGGGCGAGCCGTGACCTCCTCGACGATCCCATGCCATTTGTTGCACGCCGTTTGGATGAGCCCCCAATGGTTCGCCATCGCCTTCGACCCACGCTTCATGTGGACGCCTTTGAAGTAGGGGTCGACGAGCTTGCGCTCGTCGAACTCGGCCTTGATGCGGGCCCAATACCTCTCGATGCTCTGGTTTCGTGCCGGTGATCGGGTCGAGGTAGACGACCTTCCACGCTTCGGCGAGGCACTCCTCTTCCTTGGGCGCCCACTTGATGCGCGGCTCGCTGGTCTTGGCCGCCGTCTTCTTCTTCTTCTTGCCTTTCCTCGTCGGCGCCGGCTCCTCCTCCTCTTCTTCCTCCTCCTCCGGCTCTTCCTCGCCGTAGTCGAGCTCGTCGTCCATGTCGCCGCGATCAATCGAGCCGTCATGGGTAGTGAACCCGGGTCAAGCGGCGGCGGCGGCCGAGCCGGCTGCGATGATGTCTTCCATGTCAGCCTCCGTTGCGTCGGTGAGGCTGCGTAGTCCGGCGGCAAGTACGTGTACGGCGGGTACTGCACGCCGGCGAACGCGGGCGAGGGCGTGCGCTAGATTGGGCGCCCATGGGGGAAGGTGATGTTGGGGTTGAAGTCGCCTTGGGCTTCACTGATATGTCTTCAACGTATCTATAATTTTTGATTGTTCCATGCTATAATATTACCTGTTTTGAATGTCCATGGGCTTTATTTTACACATTTATATCATTTTTGGGACTAACCTACTAACCAGAGGCCCAACCCGTATTGCTGTTTTTTTTGCCTATTTCAGTATTTCGAAGAAAAGGAATATCAAACGGAGTCCAAACGGAATGAAACCTTCGGGAGCGTGATTTTTGGAACGAACGTGATCCAGAGGACTTGGAGTGCAAGCCAAGAAGCAGCCGAGGCGGCCACAAGATAGGTGGGCGCGCCCACCCCTCCTGGGCGTGCCCCCTGTCTCGTGGGCCCCTCAGGCGGCCACCGACGTACTTCTTCCTCCTATATAAGCCTACATACCCCGAAAACATCCAGGGAGCCACCGGAGAAATATTTCCACCACCTTAACCTTCTGTATCCACGAGATCCCATCTTGGAGCCGTCGCCGGCATTCTGCCAGAGGGGGAATCCACCACGGAGGGCTTCTACATCAACACCATAGCCCCTCCAATGAGTTGTGAGTAGTTTACCACAGACATTCAGG